AATTTAATGTAATTTAATGTAAAATGAAAAAGCTAATCTTACAGGATAAAATGTTATTCTATGTGTAAAACTGCACGTTGGTATTTTTCATATATTTTTCATAAAGTAATGCAAACAAACTGTGCCTTTCTGACATTAAATACAAAATTGAGCAGCTATTTTCTCTTTTTGGACAGATTTATTTGTTTTATTGTTTATTTTTCTTTCTCCCACATACATTTAGGAACACTTACAGTAAATAGTTTGAGTTTATTCATGTCAATATTGGTTCATCCTTATCAGTACAAGCTGTTCTGCTTTTATTTTTGGTTCTTTTATTTATTGTCTTGTTTGTAAACATAAAACTGCATCCCCCTTGACTTCCATCGGACTTCACGTATTATTAATACTCATGTAAGTCTAATGAATTGTTCTCATGGTTGATTCAGTGCTTCCTCCTGCCTCTCTATTGTCTTTGGGGACAGCTGCTAATGCGGCGCCGGTAATGGCTTCAGTAAACTGTTATGTCTAATGACCGTCTGAAACAACAACAGCAAGCGCAAAGAAAAAAAACTGGCTTAAAACAACAAACAAAATAAGTTCTTGTGTTTRTTTTTCTTGCATGAAATATCCAATCAAAAGACAAATAAAGCAAATAACTGAGACAGAGAAGTCATTTGTTGTTGTTGAATTCTATGTTTAAATGAGCAAAGTTAAGTTAAATGAATCAACTGATGTCTGTCTTGTTGCTTTAATCCATTCAAATGAGAAAGTTTGGATTCGTGTGTTCATTCTAGTGGAAATAGTTTTCTGTATCATGTGTTTATATCAAAACTGAAACATTTGCAGATAACAGTTAAAACTAGAGCAGTGTCTGCACCCTGAAATTGACCATTCTGTGAGGAGGCCTTCTTTTATTTTCTTTTAATATCTGCCTTCAAAGTCACTCCCACCAATACACACACCACACACACCCACATACTGTACATGTGTATACGTACGCACACAAGACACTCATTYTTCCCTGGTTTTGCAGAGAAAAGGGAAGGAAATATTTGCTGATGCACAATCAGCTGATGACCGGTGCAGTTCTTCCTGTTCTTCTGTCCACAGTCCGGGTCCTCGGTTCGTGTTGCTGCCACTGTGTCTGCAGCTCATCAATGAGCCTTTCATGATGCTTTGACACTATTTTTGGAGAATCGTCACAGATAATTAGTGTTCAKGCAAATCATTCTTCAGGTGAACGAGATCTCAGTCACAGATATTATTTACCCAAATATCAGCCTGCTGCTAATTTGTGYAGGGCTGCAAGAAAACACAATGACACAATGTCAAAGACAAGATAAGTCAGCTGGKTAAAGTAGGGATGGTCATGTGCTCCCACCTGCTGGACAATGGCACACATTACTGTGAAGTGACGGGATGATTGTATTAAACTGTATTTAGTAAGCTGCACTTTTCACAYTTCACACTTTTGTTGTTAACAGCAGGTTTTGTTTCCACATACAAAAATTGCACCTATATCAATCAATTTTTCTAGATATAAGGCAAAATGGAAAACCTGACTTATCTTTTTTTGTATCCATGTTTTTACTTATTTTTGACATGAACACTTCCTGGGTGAAATACAGCCCAAACCATGACAGACAGCATGTTTTACAGATTGACATGGACTCATCGTTTTGTTGTTTTATTGCCTTTTCGTATAATATTTATGATTTGAATATTTAAATGAATCACTTCATAAAATCTGTTGTTACTAAACGTCACTTCACTTCTTATGTAATATTGCGCTTTTCTGTCTTTTCTATTTGTTTGTCTCTCCTGAAAACAACCTTTTGGTTTTCACTCTTCTTTTGAGACCATGTCTGATAAATCAACTAAAGTAGAATTAAAYTCATCAAAATTTATGACAAAACAAAAAAWKKTT